GGTTGCGATCCGTTGCCGGACACGAAAAAAAGACAAAAAGGAAAAAAAAAAAAAAAGAAATAACATTCACCAAGAGGTGAAAAACGTTGAAGCCAAGATGACTTCAGCAGGTTAGTGCTAGAGGAAAAAGTAGAGCGGGATATTTTAGGGGAATGTGTGCGTTTTAATCCAGGAAGGAAAATAAGAGAGTTATAAGAAAAGAGCAGAAAGTCTGTAATAACATTAAGGGACATTTGGTGGAAGAGCCTTAGAAACTAAGGTAAATGTGAGAATAGAGCATAAATTGAACAGCGTAAATGGTAAATAGGTTGGTCAGGGAACCTCCTTGAAGTCTCTTCCCCGTGCTTTCAGAGGGCCTGAGGGCAGATGTGCAGCGTCCCTGAGAATGGGGCTTCCCAGCTGCCTCTGCTGGTCATTAACAATCCATTTCTTTGTCTTTTCCAGGGAACGTGAAAAAACTTGGAGAGACATACCCAAATATCTCAAATGCCCGGAATGCAGAGCTACGGCTACGATGGGGCCAAGTCGTCCTTAAGAACGACCACCAGGGGGATTTCTGGAAAGTGAAGGAATTCCTGCAGAGCCAGGTGGGCGACCCCACCTACTGTCCCCCACAAGCTTGCTGTGGACCACTCAGCCACAGGTAGTGCTGAGGACAGAGCCTCCACAGGAACCTCCTCTGTCTGAGATACTGGAGGGAGGGGTCACTGACTTCCTGGAGGACCCTGCTAATCAGTCTTGCCCTGGGGGAAGAGGAAGCCTACAGCTAGGGGAGCTTTTTGCAGATCAGCTGGTAAGGCCTGGGGGAAAACAACAGGCTAGAGCTAACCCAAAACTGAGAAGGAACGTAATGTGGGGGTAGGTCTTGGGGAAAATGCAAGAAGGGAGAGGGGCCAAAGGATGAGCAAGTTGAGCAGAGGATAAGATCGTAGGTCCCTGCTCCCAGGGAAGCCCCGTGACTTGGGAGCAGTTCAGATACCAGCTCCTACATCACCCTGTGAGAGCTGTCCTGCTGGAGGAGGGCCTAGGGGCTCTTAGGATGAACTGAGCCTCATCAGATTGCAGAGCAGGGAGGGGACTGGCCTGGACACAAAGCAGTGCTCAGATTCCCTATCTGTGTGCTGTGGGAGCTACGTGCCTGTGTGGAGGTATTCAGAGTCCTCTGAGGGCTTCTCCAAGCCTCTGGATTTTAGGAACTTGTGATGTGGCTGACTTACATTTGTGTGAATTTGACTTGTAGATATGGCCCTGAACTTTATGTGCTACAGCCTTTGATATCTGTTGTTAATTTGGTAGTAACCACCTACAGCTTTACAAAAGTCTGGAGTCTCATTGTGTCAACCCATCTCATTTGTTTTGGTGAGTGTAGACATCCCTATGTTACCATGGATTGGAATACATGTTGAGAGCTATCTCTGTGGATCTTTGGCTCCCCAAGAAGATGTCAGAATAAGAGCACTTCTGACTGGGAGACTCTTCCTTCCAGCACTGACGTCCACATCATTTGGCACCTGGCCGTGACTGCCGCCGGGGGCAGGGGGGCAGGGCAGAGCCACTGAGCCTGTTGCTGAGGCCATGGGTATGTGTGTTTCTTGCAGGGGAAGCAGAAGTACACCCTTCCGCTGTACCACGCAATGATGAGGGGCAGTGAGGCGGCCCAGACCCTCGCCAAGGAGACCTTTGCGTCCACTGCCTCCCAGCTCCACAGCAATGTTGTCAACCATGTCCAGCAGATTGTGGAACCCAAGGACAGTTAGAGGCCCACATGTATGGCCTCTGCCTCTTCAGACCTTGCTGGCTTTCACAATAATTGTTCCCAAATTTTAGTTCTTCAGTCAGCTTCCTGAAATTTATATCCTTGAAGGATAATCTGTTCTCTGGGCTTAGGGATCTGTGACTCTTGGGCCGCTGCTCTGGTCTCGGGCCCACTGAGTCCTGAGACCAGAGAAGCTCCCACCGCTCTCCCGTGTGCTTCCTGAAATTTATATCCTTGAAGGATAATCTGTTCTCTGGGCTTAGGGATCTGTGACTCTTGGGCCACTGCTCTGGTCTCGGGCCCACTGAGTCCTGAGACCAGAGAAGCTCCCACCGCTCTCCCGTGTACGGGCTGTTGGCGTTGGTCGAGCCAGGCAGCCATCGCCATCCTCCCCACGTAGGTCTTGGGGAGAAGTGGAGAGGGTCTTTCTTTTCCTTCCTTCTCTTTTCTTCAAGTACTATGCAAAGGGCTGGCATTCTGGTCACTCTTTTTCAGGTTTAATCCTTATTTTAATAAATGTTTTTAAGCAAAAAGAAGTTGGAGTTATGGATAAGTTGAGTGACTGTTAAATTTCTTCTACTAGGGGTCTCCTCTATGTGTGAGTGTTCAGAGAGTATCACTGGGAGAGACCCAGAGGATGACAGTGTTTCCTTGTCCTTAAGGAACTGCCAGGCAGAAGGAGGTGGGGGTCCCGTACATGCATATGAAAAAGTATGTGGCAATATGCTAGCATGGTTGTGGCTGGGAAATGTCCATATAAATAGCATTCCAGTTCTCTATGAAGGCAGCTAAATTGTCTCTCTGCAGTATCATTACCATTATCTTTTCCATCACTAAAAAAAAAGTGTGTTTTAGTGTTCTTTCTCTACTTTCTTTCTTTCTATCCTTGGGACTTTGCCAGGGCTGACCTGCCTTTGCTCCTGCATAACTATTTAGTGGTGTGGTAATCAGTAGAGTCTGTTCAGAACTTGGCCCAGGAATGTAAGAGCTACTGTAGGCACTGGCATTTTGATAGCAAACTGCTTCCGTAGCTCTTTCAGGACTGTTCCAGGCAATATGTTAGAGGCAAGGACTGCTTGGTGTATAGCTTATCGGCTCTGAGACCAGTAGCTATCTTTCCTCATTCTATACAAAAACCTGCAGCACTGGCAAGCCCAGTAATAATGAAGGGTCATTAGAAACAAGCTGCAAACCCTTCCTCTCAGAGCTGTTCCTCAGCTGCACTAATTTTGGAGTCCTGGCAATTCATGGCCTGGGGCATGTCGTGAGTTGTATGGCCTGCCTTGCCCACCCCCTGTGCTACTGGATGTGCCTGTCTTTTCATAGGCAGGAGCTGAGGCTGTGCCACTGTCTGGGCAGCTCTGTGGGGAAGGTCAGTGGGCTGTTCTTGCCATCACAGGGTGTTGGGAAGA